GTGAGGTCCAGTGCAGGAGTGAGGAGCACCCGCAGCAGCCCCCCACCCTACAAGCACAGGACAGACACCTTGGCGCCCATCACCTGCAGTGACTCTTAAGGCAGTATCTCCAGCAAAAATTAATAATAATAAAAACCATTTCCCCTTTCCGAGAGAAAGAAGGGGAGACAGAGCAGCCCTGCCCGCGTTCAAGGTCACCCCGGGTGCCTGCGGCATCGCTGCATGTGGCCCAGGACCGCGCTCCCTCCCGCTCTGCTCAGCAGACCCTGCCGCCGGCGCGGCACCTCCGAGCCCCACAAAGCAGAGGGATGTCGAGCAACTTCCTCCCACATTAGCCAGGCGCTGCGGGCAGGACCTGCTCAGGGGGAAGATAAGGCCGGCTCAGGTGAATGCACTTAAGTCCTCCCCGCAGTGCCTCTAAGAGGAGCAGGCTGCTCCGGAGCCCATCAGCTTGCCCGGCTAATAGCCCCCTCAGCCACCCCCATCGGAGCAGAGCCCGGCTCTTGGCTGCGAACCAGGGGAGTAGCTACAAGGCTGTAACTTGTGAGCATGGAGTTGCTAAAGGTGAAGGGGAACAGGTCTGAAGGAGGTAGGGGAGAGGTAGAGCTGCTGGGTGCTGGCGTGGAGGCTGCAGGAGGAGTGTTGGGTGCTGAAGGGGTCTTCTCGCAGGGTGTAGGGGTGGCAGGGCTGGTTTGTGGGTGCTGCAGCGGGGAGGGGGAGCGCGTGCTAGCCGAGGGCAGCCCTTGCTGCTGCTTTAGCTGCTGCCTGAGGATGCTCTGCGGTTTACCGATGTGTCTTTCCCTTCCTGTGCTTCCCCCAGATGAGAGCACCCTACTCGCTGTCTTACCTCTTCCTCCTGAGTCTGGGGGCCTGTGTCCCTCTCCGCGAGCGGCAGGAGCCGGGAGACCCCGGGGAAGGGACCCTGCTCAGTCCCAGCTGGCGAACGGCGACAGCGGCTGAGGACTCGGGTGCTGGCTGGAGGGCAGGAGCAAAGCGGAGGCGAAGCGAGGAGCTGAGCACGTTGCTGGGCATCACCCGGGAGCTGCGGAGCTACGGCAAAGAGGGGACCGGCAAGCGGCTGGG